CTATAGTGAGAAACTCATCACCCATACCGGCTCAGGAGAGCCACTCAGTAGAAATCATTAAATGGTTCTTGTCTTTGAAATGATCTCTGTTAGGACCTCCAGTGAGAGGGAGGTATGGCAGAGCAAACCTTCATTAGAAAGTATCCAACACACAATGCAAAAGTGGAGTGGCTGTGCCATGTGCTGGATCCTCAGTGTGGGGCTGCAGCTCGAGCTGGCCATGGGCCATGGGCCATGGGCCATGGGCCATGGGCCTCACAGATAGGATTCCTCAGTGCTCCACTAAGAAGGGAAACAGAAATGGATCCCAGTAAAGTATCTCACTGACATTCCACCTTTGTAACTCGCTGGCTTCCTGAGGAGACTGGGTGATTTTGTTCAACAGAAGAAATCCACAGGGCGTGACCAGACAGGCTTCCTGGAAGGAAGACTTCCCTTTGCTAATTTTGGGATATTCTAATTATTTTCCTAGAATGTTGAAATTGCCATAAAGTGGTTTTAGAAGCCATCAAGGGCAAATCTTTTGCCCAACTGGCTTGCCTGGAGAAATTGGAAAATTAAATATTGTGTTCTAAGAAGACTGAGAAGTGTTGGGGGAGGGAAGAGAGCAGGGTGCTCCCATCAGCCCGCCCCGACTCCGTCTACACAGCTTCACAGTGTATTGAGCTCCTCATCTAAAGCCATCGTGGAGATTGTAGCTGACAGCCGAAAATTGTTCACATAGCTTTTCCATCTCTTCCCTTTGAGTGGTTGTGTGGAGTCACATAGAGAAAGAGCTAACATACTTAAAACGTTTGCTGCAGACTGGAGGGCAGCTTTGTGGTAGAGCATTTGCCTAGCATAAGAGAGCCCCTCTTTCGACCCAAGCAGCAGAGCCTGCTGTGCAGAGCATAAGGTCAGCTGTTTTCCCTAACTTGAGGTCATCTGACAATAGGCGTTCTGTGGATGTGGCGGAGGCGTTGGTAGTCCCCAGGGACTTCTTGCACAGCGGTAAGCCACCTTGGCATTTGGTCACACACTCACATTTGTGACACAGCAGCAGACACAGCTCTTGGCCCATGTCTCGGAAAACACAGAGAAATGGCTATTGAGATGGTAAAACCTGATGAGAATGGGCAATGAGAGTGAAAGCAAACCCCACAATAATCCAAAGCAAAAGTATCTCTTCCCAAGACAGTGGTGAACACACCTGCTACCTTCATGTGGTCACATCTCCACAGTCAGACTTGGAAACCCCCAGAAGCCTGTGGAAGTGAGATAGGCTGTCTGCAGGCTGAGTCTTCCAGGGGCTCCCTTGGTATATCAGTGGCAGTATTTTCAGTATGATCTGAGCTAGCCTGGGTTGTGGGTTCACGGCACCACCATCTGCAATACTCAGTGTGAGTAGCTACCTTGATACATTTAGGTTTTTAACTAACATTTTCCAAAAAATTTGTTTCAAGAAAATAATAAATCAACATCCAAAGGTATTTTTAATCTTTATTTTTCCACCATTTTTACATGTTTTATTCTGGGAGAATTTCCATTCTTTTATTGATTGTCACAACATGTGTGAAGTACTAACCGGGAAGGAAGAAATGAGAAGCAGAAAGAGTGGGCATTTAGCAAATTACCAAATGGACAGATCCTTATTCCCAAGACAGTATCCGCTGTCATTTCTTTTTCATACAGAAGCCAGTGAGGCGACCGGGATCCTCTCGAGTGAAGAGTGTTGCCACGTGTGTAAGACTGAGCCTTGGAGCAACCCCCACATCAACTTCGACTCTGCTTTGAGAGCCTGAAACTCCTTGACGTGCCCTTGGGGGATGTAACTTGAGCGGATTATATTTGAGCTCGGTTTTGGAGAAGTTAGGTTACATATTGACTCCCAAGAACACCAGCATCACTTCTCCAGTTTCACTCTGGCTCTGAGAAATTGAGAGCAGCTGAGGCTATTTTTAGAGATTACGGTTCATCGGAGACAGCCATCTACCGGTCTGATGCCTTTTTTTATGACATCACCCCTGAAGGGCTGCATAGTTTTATGCTTAGAAATACCCCTCGCTCTGTAACAGAGTCTGAGGCCTGCAGTGTACCGATCCTTCACTCCGTAAATCACACGATGGCCATTGTCCAGAGGCAATAAGGTCTGACCTGGTGTCTCAGCCGTGGAATGGATGTCACATGGTCCCTCCTAGGCTTATGAAAATGAGAGGAGCTTATTCTAAGGTCCACTTCCTGCACTGGAGGTCAGTTCTGATTCTGTCAGGAAGATAGCTGGAGTGCAGGAATCACTCCAAATCTCTGTCCCTTCAGGCTTAGGCTTTCTCCAACATCTGAACTCTCAGCAAGGCACAGTTGTCACATGCGCTTGAGTCAGCACGTTTATTAATGTGTGAATTCACTCACAGAGCACAGGGCCACCATACTGTCCCAGTCTGCACCATGCTGGCACCCTCCCTACTGTGTTAGGAACTCTGCTGTTTAGCACTCATCCCCAAGTCTTCAACTTCTAACACGCAGCAATGAGCTTGGGCAATCAGCTTGTGCCTGCTGCCTATTATGCTGGCCATATTTGAAAAAATTGGCAGCATATTATTTTCCAATCAAAATCAAAGTCCACGGCCAAGACTAGGGGACCTGAGTGAAGGCAATTTGACACTGTTGATTAAAGACACTTAGAAAATCGGGCATGGCAGGCCATAAATACTTGGGTGGAGGTTCTGAAAAGTTGGCAGACATTGGTTTGATTTGATATGCTCCCTGTCTGCTTCTTCCAGCTCTTCTCATCACTTCTCCTGACTACCAGACTTTCAGCCAACTCCATGTTCATTTCTCAGCTCCTCTGTTGCAACAGAATCCTCACTTTTAGCTGAGTTTGTGACTTGATCTTCCCAATGGTGGCCAGGGTGACCTGGATAGGTTATGGCCCCCAGCAGGGTTAATGAGAGCACCTTTGGCTTCTTTCCTTGCTGATGGTGGGGGACTTCTTGCCTTCCTTCCTTTTCCCTCTCCTCTGGTTTGGAGAGGGAGAAGGTGATGAGCTGTCTTGGGCCACAGAGATGAGAGAGACATCCTATTGGGGTCAGGGCAACAGGGTGGCAGAATCATGTGTCCCCAGTGTTGTAAAACTTCTCTCTAAGCCCAGTACTATAAAGGGAAGGTTTTCCTCTGCTTAGCCTGGTCTCATTTGACCAGTTTCTCTCTGCCTACTGGGTCCTGCAGCTGCTTATAAGATAACCACTGAGAGACTTAATATGTATTTATAATTGTCTGGCCAATGACTTAGGCTTATTATTGGCTAACTCTCTCTTGTAAATCAACCCATTTTTACTAATCTGCTTATCATAATGTGGCTGTGGCAGAGGGTAGAAGGGGACATATCGATGGCTCCCTTTGTGCAGGGATTGGCCATCTTGTGCATTCATTCAGAGGGATCCGGCCACCATGCTGACCCCAAGCAGGATGTGTTAAGCTCAGGACGTGCTTTGGAGATTTGTAAATATGTGGGGCATGATGGGCTCGTAGCAGAAGGGTATTCAATGAGCATAAACAGAAGGCCACAGAGGGACTGATTAAACAAACAACTGCCCCAATCCATGGCTGCAGGGACTCAGACTCCTAAAAGTACCTTCCTCCTCTGTGAAGCGTTTGTCTCACCTGCCCCAGGAAGAGTGCTACAGTCTTCCATGGTTGCTGTTTCCTAGAAACCTGTGATGTACCCGGCTGTGTTGTGAGCTGGAAAGTGTAAGCCACTCTCTCAAGCTTGGGGAAAGAGTTTTTGCTTGTGTTTCCACAGAAAGTGGAAAGCTATGGATTCCTTCCAGACTAATGTTGTTTGATCAAGCAAGACCCCCCTGAAGCAGTGGTCCAACTGATCCTACATCCAAAACAGCTGAGATGATGCAGCCATAGATGACTATGGCCAGATTTCTGTGTTTTAACTTGATCCCCATGGTATGGACATCGCCCCCAACCAGCAGGAAGCAGTTTGGAATGAATGACGCCCAAATTCCCAAATATTGTTTATAAAAGTTTGTTTTCATTTAAATGGCGTTGGTGATAAATGGTAATGATCACAGTCAATCTCTTTTTAAAGGAAAAAAGGGGAATAGGATATAGAAATGAATACTTTACATTGGTATGGATTTTCATTTATTGATACAAATTTAAGGTTAATTTTGTTATATGTAAATTTCTCCTTTTGTTTGGTATTATGTTTATACTGATCTTTTAAAATGTAATTCATGATTAAATCCAAATTATCTAGTCAACTATAATAGTCAGAACTTATATTTAGGTTAGTTAGGTTTTCTGGATATATGAAGATATATTTGAGATGGATAAATATTCTTCAAACCTTTCAGAGACCCACAGAATATATGGCATTTAAATGGTTTAGGGTTTTTCGTGGCAGTGAGACACAACTGCTCCTGGCACACCAATTACTTCAAAGAGGAAGATGGGCATCGAAGAAACTCGTTATGGAGTTTGCCTTCAACATGGCAAGATTAGCCATTTGGGCAAGAAACTGCTCTTGCCTGGACTGTTTGTTGCTGAATAAGCTGGACATGCAGGACCCACAGGAAAGTGACTGCTGAACTTACAAAACAAGACAGTCCTGAAGGGTTCCTGCTCCATAGAAGAATCTGCCAGACATTCTACAGGACCCACAGAAAAATGACTAACAAACTGCCAATGTAGGCGGACAGTTTAAAATTTCCTGCTTCACTGTGGCCTATGGCCTGAAGATGGGTGCCCCAACGTTACCGAGGAACTGTGGGTGACTGTCCAGGTAGTGAGATGTCTCTGTCAATTCTAGAGTTTATATATTATCCTTTGTGGTCTTTGGTGGAGTTGAAGACAGATTATTATGGTTATAGTTTTCTTTAGTTATTATAAAAGATAAGTTACCCTTCTTTTTATTTAGACAGAAAAGAGGAGATGATGGGGGAGAGGTCCTTCTGTGTGTATGTTTGTCTTAATGGTTGATAAAGAAAGTACTGTTGGCCAATAGGGAAGCAAGTTAGGCGGGACTAGGAGTTGAGGAGGATTCTGGGAAATGTAGTAAAGAGAAATTTTGTGATCCAGGCAGGAAGTGACATAGCAGGCAGACTCAGAATATACGTAGGGACAAGCAGGGAATCACTTGCTTCCTCTTCCTCCTGCTCTCTTCTCTGGAGCCACCATGTGAGCCTGAAAAGAGAGGATGCATGCTGCCAGCATCCTTGATCAGATAAGTCTTTATAAAATATATAGATTAATAATTATGATTGATACTTAAAACAGAGACAGCAGATAAGAAATCCTAGCCATTGGCCAGCAGCATTGTAAATAATATTAACCTCTGTGTGTTATTTTGGGCACCCACGTGGTGGCAGGGCTCAGGCAGCTTGTCGGAAAGACTTATCATTACACCGCTCTGTAGCCTGGGTGGTGAGTGCCTTGATGACATGGCCACATTTTATTCAGCTTGTTTCCCTAAACACAGATCTCTGAGTCCCATACAAGGCATTTGCATGATAAATTCCCTGAGGGAAAGGACAATTCAGTTGTTGTGTCTTTATTTATTATCACTTCCTTTTTCCACGATGGCCTCACAGATGAGTTGTTTTTGCATTCTTTTCCTGGAATGTTTTATGTATCATTTCTGAATGAGTAAAAACAAACATAGGTTGGAGTGATGACTCAAAGATATCTTGGGGTACTTAGTGCAGACACATGGCTGCAATCTAAGAGTTCTGACTGAATTAAGTGTGCTGGGATTGACCCACTCTGTGTAACTACAGAGACGTTGCTGTTCAGAGTCTGGATCCCAGCACCCATGTTGGGTGGCTCACAACTGCCTGTAACTCCAGTTTCAGGGGATCTGGTGCTCTCTTCTGGTTTTTGAGACCATCTGAACATACATGTGCACATACATGTGAGCACACACAGATGCAAGCACATAGATAATCTTAAGCACCCCTTGATAACATTTGGAAGCACATGTCCCTGTTATTCCAGGTTCACACCCTTCAGGGGTTAGGCTAAGCTTTGGTATCTTTTCCAAGAATGGTTTGTGGACCTTTCTTTATTTGTAACTCATTTCCAATAGAATTTACAACTTTGGAAATCCTCTCCACTTTCACTGTGACTGTTGATAAAACCACCTTGGAATCAGCATTACAAGAAAGGGTAAAATTAGACTGTCTATAAATATGCTTAATTTCCCCAGTTGTTATTTTCAAGAGCTAAAAGAAAACCAAAGAATTGACTTGAAGGCCAAGAACAAAAGCCCCTGTTTTCATTTGTGTGGTGTTTGGATTTCGAAGCTGATTTTGTTTTTGTTGTAAATTGTTGGCAGTGGATTGGCATTTGGTTTAGTGTATTTCTTACCCTCAAGTGATTATTCATGGTCCCTTAAAGAGGGATTTACCAACAAGTAGTTTCAAAAAAACACTGAATGATCAATGAATAATCTTCTTGAGAACTTGGCAGATATACTTAGATTTCATTGTAAGACAGCTCCTTACAAAGAATTTGAAGACTGTGAACTTTATATGCAGAAACGCTTGTATATTAGTGACCTGGAGCCAGGAAAAAAACATCCTATTATGTAAATATTTTTGCATGTTTTTGAGGGATTCTGAAGCTAATGTAGCATCTCAATCAAATTATATTCTTAATTGGTCTGCATAAGAAAAATAGCTCATTTGTCTCTGGGTCACAGGATCTTGGGCGGCAGTTCCTCTACTGCCGGCTAGAGCCCTCTGGGGAGATTTTCATGCAGCCCGGGCTTGTCTCAGTGTACTTACTGAGAGTGAGGGTTGGCCTCTGCTCCACAGCACCCTAGGTGATCTTGGGCTCTGTATAGGATGACAATGCCTGCCTGACGCAGTGGCTGTGGGGACTGAGTAAGGACTGTATGAGGAAAGGGGGTACTTTCATGGAACACAGAAGAATATCTACAACCCATACTCAGTGTGAAGACAGGGGTCATATCCTCTTCCATGGAGCAGTACAGCCCAGAATCGTGGGGCAGGGTAAGATCACCATGTGGCAGCTGTGAAGAAACCACAGCCTTCATCTATGCTGCTTGTTTAGCGTCTGTGTGGTTATCTATGCTCTCAGCTCTCAGTAAGTAAGACCATGTGGTTCAATCTTATCATGGAGCCTGACTCACAGAAATCTCAATGGGTCACCTATTCCCTTGTAGCCAGGGAGGTGTTGGGTTAGCTTGCATCACATATGGGCCACACACCTGAAGGCTTGAACTGATCACATTTCTGTCTCTGTGTGACAAATATCCTGATCCGCCCCCATCAACATAGAGGAGGAAGAGTTTATTGAAGCATACAATTCCAGGTTGTAGTCCATCTTTGGGGGAAGTTAAAGGAAGAACTCAAACAGCTAGTCGTATCACATCTGTAGCCAAGCAGAGAGAGATGAACACGTTCACACTGCCTGCTTGCTTCCTCTCAGCAGCTTCCTTCACTCTTTCACAGTTCAGGACTCAGCCTAGGGAATGATGCTACCCACAGTGGGCCGGGTCAATTAATAATAATCAAGACAATCCCAAATTGACATTGACAAGAGGCTAACCTGATATGGACAATTCCTCAACTGAGACACACACACACACACACACACACACACACACACACACACACACACACACTCTCTCTCTCTCTCTCTGGTTCTAGATTATGGAAAAATGTCATTTAAAACCAACCATCAGAAGGCCCATTCACACAGGGTTCCTGACACTCACACAAATCTCATTGACTCAAGTCTAGTTGAAGGGACAGTGACGATGGTTGTTGCCCACTGCTACTGACATCAGAATGACTTCACTGCCACAAGATCTAGCCAGGAGAAAAAAATCAACGTGGCCTGTGCTCACATGAACACAGTTTTCATTTCCAGAGGCAGTGGCGGAGGATATATCTATCTTATTTGAAGTGCAGCCACCCCAAGGGGGCATTTAGGATGAACTGTAGGGCACCCCCTGTGGTATTGTGTCTAAGGCTCATGTCCTGGCAGATGTGAGCTCTCTTCCTCTGAATCCCCCCAGGACTGAGCACCTTTCTCTGGCATTTTGCCTGGTTGTCTTTGTGGGCCTTGTTGACGCATAACTTAGGGGAAATTCTCTCAAGAACACAGGATATAAGCATTGGGATCTGGAGCTTAAGATCCATTTCTCTTTTTGCCCCAGACCAGGGCCAGACACAACAGGACACTGTTGTTTGCTGTCACACTTCTCCCAGGCAGAGTCCAACAAAATAAGCAGGTAGTAGCAGCCGGCCTCTTAAGAATGGAAAACAGCAGAGAATGATTTTACTGGGAAAGATCGGGAAGAAAGCTCTGGAGACCAGGATTCAGTGAATGCATCATGGGGAGCAGCCATCAGGTGAGTGGGTTCCATAGGTAGTGTAAATCAGTGTAAAAACAACACAGGCGTTGTGGTGAGCATCACGGCTGTGCAGTGAGGACATGCAGAGGACAAAGACAGCTGTGGTGGAGGGAGGGAGGCAGACAGGTAAGCTCCAGCAACTCACAGTTTGGCCTCTGTCTTCATCTCTTTGTGCTGCCATAAGAGACTAACTCAGAGTGAGCAGGTTATGAAAAAATAGCAGTCAGGTGTTACTTTGTCCCAGGGGTCAAATCAAGGAGACATGTGTGAGGTCTCCTTGCTCCATCATCCCATGGCAGAAAGGCAGGGCATGGGAGTATGTGTTCATGGGCCGTGGTCTTTGACAGTGGTATTAATCCATCCCTGTGTTCGGAGACCAGAAACTTAAATACTCTGCTAGGCCTGACACTTCCTATCAACACTTCTCTTGCTGGCACTTGTGACTGTTACCTGACCTGTGACTGCTTGTGCTGAGCCACTGGTGATGGGGAGTTGTCAGAAGACTGAAGCCATTGAAATGTCTTCTGAGAGTTCTCCACGTTTAGATGGTGAAACACCAAGCAGCCATCATATTAATATATAATTAAAATACAGAATTTCATTTCAGCAATTTTGGCATCTTGGGATTTTGTAATTTATTTAACTTCGCGGACATGGATGCTATCATTTAGAATTTGGAGGGAGCAAAGCAGAGACAATGAAACAAAGTGGCTGGTAGGTGATTTGGAGTGTGCGGTGGTGAATCTTTTCTGGTTGAAGTTTCAGCTGTGGTGTTTGTGACTCCATGGGATGAATCAGCTATCATTTGGCTTGGAGAGTCTCAAATGCCAGTGGGCTGAAGGAGTACATCTAAATTTAGGTGACTTTTGCAGTGATGAAACACCATGAGCAAAAGCTACTTGGGGAGGAAAGGGTTAACTTGGCTCAAGCTTCCCCATCACTGCTCATCATTGAAGGAAGTCAGGACAGGAACTCAAGCAGGGCAGGAACCAGAAGGCAGGAGCTGATGCAGAGGCCATGGAGGGAGTTGCTTACTGGCTGGCTTCCCTTGCCTTGCTCAGCCTGTTTTCTTATAGAACACAGGACCACTAGCTCAGAGATAGCACCACCCACCATGGGCTGGGCCTTCCCCCATCCACCATTAATTAGGAAAATGCCCAACAGGCTTGCCTACCTTATGGAGGCGTTTTCTTTATGGAGGTTCCCTCCTTTCAGATGACTTCATCTTGTGTTAAGCTGACATACAGTTAGCCAGCACTGAGCATTGGTAAAGGTTCTAAAGACACAGACGCTCAGGTCCCAGTGGAACCTGCAGCTTTAACTGCTGTGGCTGGGTATCATAAACTGGGGAAGCCAGCTGATGATGGGCCGGCTGGGTGTGGTTTAAAGCTCGTCTTTTTCTCAGAACAAACAAACAAACCATTAATTCCTATCGACATTCTTTACAGGACAAATTGACATTGAGCCTGAGTACTTAAAAATATTTTATTGATTTCATTTACTAAATAAATCATTCTTGGATTTGTTTTAGCTAGGGGAGTTTAGTACAATGTTTGTTTCCACCTATTGTATGCTGCCTAAAAAAATACTATTTCTACTAAATTAATGGGCAGAATGAATAGTTAGAAATAGGGATGACGGTTTGGAGAGATGGATAAGTCAGTAACAGGCTTACCACACAGCTGGAGGACCTGATCCCACTACCCAAAACCCATGTGAAAAAATCAGGCTTGGTGGAAAGCATTTTAATTCCAGCATGGGGGAAGCAGAAGCAGCAGATCCTCAGGCTCCTGGCTAGCTTGGCCTAAGTGGTGAGCTCCTGGCCAAGGAAAGACTGTCTCAACACAGACTAACACAGAGGATGGCTGGATACCTGGTGGCAGATTCTCCTGTCATCAAGCATTCGTAGAAACATCAGCAAACAACTGCTGTCTGTTTATTGTAGCATTTTATGACTCAAATAGTCTTCTAGAACCTTCTTTAGAACCAGGGCACACAGTTTCTGTAAATCATGCCAGTCTTATTAGCTTTCATGCATTTGAAAGTCACAATGGCCTAGTATGACTTCATCTTGATCTTTGTACAAGGAGAATTGCTTTAAAAAAAGAAAGACAAGCCCTCATCACCAGCGTGAACACATGTATTTACACAGAGTCTTGTACAAAGAACACATGGAAAAAATTATAATTCTCCCTCTTCTAAAAATATTGACTTCATTAGTAAAATGGAGATTTTTTTTTTAGTTGCAAGAAAAAATAATCCTGTCAGCTGAAAATGGAAAAGAATTTACTAAGTCTGAATAGCTAAAAATAACTCCTGGGTCTTATTCCTGTCCCCTGTCTTCAGAGGAATTTACCTGATAGTGCTATTACAGGGCATTCCAAAAGCATGAACAACCCTGGTATTTTCATAAACTCAAGAGTTGGTGTTTTGTTTGAGACATGGAGGAACATGGTTTTGCTTTGTGTGCATGATTGTGCCTGGTAGGAGCCATGGCGTTGGGGTTTGTGTGGGAGCTAGAGAAAGCACACAAGGACTCTAGAAGAGTGGGAGGGTGTGCTGCCATTCTCGACCTCTCCAGCCGGGCTGGAGTCCTCTGTCAACAGTAGCTGCAGACATAAAAGCAACGCCCACTCACAGACCATGTGATTCTAGGTCTTTCTTCAGCCCCAGCTTTCAGTTCATTACAGTATGACCCATGGCTAAGAACTGTGAACTGTTACAACAGTTGTGGGATGCCCAGACTTTTGCAAACAGAGGAGTAAACAAAGGGGTGCGCAGGTGATAAACTCCTCAGTGACCTGAGGATGTCCAGGCTAAAGTTTGCCTAAGAGCACTTGTTCCCAGTCACCTATGCATATTGTTTATTAACTTTCTTTTTTTGTGTGTGTGAATGAAACTTTTACTTATCTACTGTATCTAGAAGCAGATACCGAATTTTTTCTACAATTAATTTCCAAAAAAAGTGCAAGAAGTTACTATAATTTGCTTACAAACCAAAACACTTATTAAATCAACAGACTTTGGATAGTCATTCTGTGACATTCTCAATATAAACGGCACACACTTTCATGTGTGAGTATGCTGTCCTTTGGTGTGTGGAACAAGGATACCAAAACCATACCCTCAGTGTAGAATGTTTTCAGACCGCAAGTCTGAATTTCCAAGCTTACCTGGCTCTCCAGGACCCATAAAAATCCCATCTTGGCTTATAGCGAGCACTTTGATGGCACTGTGAGTTTCTGGAAAGGTGAGCTAGGCAGTGAAGCAATCCCTGTGCGGGCCCACGGAGTCAGCTCTTGGGAGTTTCACATGATCAGCATCAAGGATCATGCTAACTGGAAAGACACCCTGTTCATGGGCAAAGCCTGGGCCATTTGCTTGAATGATGTTATTTAGCTCTGTTTCTGAGACTGGACGGGCCACGTGAACTCATGAAGGCCTGTGATACCATGGGTATCAGATTCTTGTCCCACAACTTCGGCTCAGTGCACATTGAACAATGGCTTTGGGTTGTTGGGCTGCGTTGAAACACTGTGCACCAATGAAAGCCCTTATTGAGAAATCCAGTATTGCTTTTGCTAAGGAGGGCATCTATGGAATACCTCAATGCCACCCTTCCCTCTGATACAGTAATCTGTTATCTGGATTTAATTATGGAAGGTGAAAGTTGCTGGGCAGCCCCATGGAAATTTTTAAGTCCTTTCACGCTGGGTTGGCTGTCTTTTCAGATCAATCTTCCTGCTAATGACAGCCAATACTTTCATATGTGATTACGGGCCCGCTCCATCTTTTCGTAAGCAGAGACTCTTTGGAATCATATGTATTGATCTTTTTAATAGAAGTCAGGAAAAATAAAATTACTCTGGCTTCTTGCGGCAAAACGATGATAAATGAGAACTTAGAAACTTATGGGAGAATTTTTTTTCCTGCCCTGGATTATTTTAATCACTAAAAATGATGGTCTTTTTAATAATATTTGCTTTCCATTATGCTCATTTGCAGCCTAGCCAAAAGTGGTTTCTGTATTGCTTGTGTGACCGCACTGAGGCAGAGGCCACTAGTGTTCCCGTACCTGCTGGTGACTCAGGTACAATGGCCCCGAAAAGGGGGCAAGGAGCCAACCCATGGTCTCTGCAGCCACGCTGGTTTCAGTAGAAGACCTCTGTTGACAGAGTGTGGTGGCCATTTCTTGTTCCATTTGCTTGAATGCCCCTCAACCATACTGTTGTCTTAGATTTGAGCTTTTGCTTCTTTTATCTTCCCCCTTTTATCTCTCGTTTGATCAAGTCCAATTACTTTCTGACTTCTCTGTTTTGCTTAAGATAAAGCATAGGTGATTCCTACTCTGTGGCCTGATTCCTCACCATGTAATTCCTGGAAGCAGTAAATGGTGTCTTCCTGAAAATTAGGTATCAGACATGTTGGATTGAGTCATTGTTCTAGCACCACCCCCACCTCAGCCAAAGCTGTGACCACAGGCCTCAGGTTGTCTCTTGTGTTGGATTCCTTTTTTACGTTGGATCGAGTTTCCAGTTCCCAAATGAAGGCAGGTTTTTTTTTTTTTTGTATTGGGGTGGAGTTTTTGTCTTGGAGTGGAGGCATGGAGAGAGAATCAAAAAGCATCCATGCTAGGGCATTAAGTAGATCACAGAAGAAGTGGATGGGGACCAAAGCATCACAGATGTCAGGACAAAGTGTGCCCTGCTCTGCTTAGCTGGGTCAAGGACAGCTGTGTGTGAGATGAAAGGCTGGTCCTGTAGAAATGCCGTGCCAGTAGCCTCCACGGGCCATGTGTCACTGTGATGGAGACAGAACCTCTCCTGTGTGCTCACTCATCCTCTGTTTCCTCTCCCTCACCCCGCCTCTCATGAAGAGAGATTGACCCGTTAAGAAACAGGTCATGTTCACAAGCTCATCTTCAATCTTGGTTTCCGTTCAGACGTGATAGAGGCAGTGTGAACCTGGAGGCAGTGTGAACCTAGTGGCAGTGTGAACCCAGGCCATGTGCAGACAGTTTTCCAAACTGCGTCTGTGGAAATGTCATCAAGACAGCTACCTAACATCACGCTAAGACTGAGGAGTGCTTTTGAGTGACGCTGGGGGTGGGTGAAGTCTGATGTGGCCGTTCATGAAGGCTACAGGTAGGATGGTGGGAAAGCACTATGGATCATTGTCCTTGCTTGGCTTCGCTCACTGTTTTGGGTTCATCTTCTGCATCTGCCTTTTCTACTCTGGTCTTCCTGGGCTCCCCGAGGGCTGTGGAGCTGTGTATACTGACCCAGACCTTGCGCTGTTCACTCTCACCTCCTTTTCAGGGACCCTCACATCCAGGGTGATCCCAGCCATCTATCTGGATCGATCTCTAAAGAGCTTGAGTAGAGGAAGTCTCACCATAGGACCATGGGATGTGGACACTGCCTGGCCTGCTTCTGAGGGTGTGGGCCCTGGCAATGCAATCCTCATGGAGTTGGGGTGTTTTACACATCCCTCTAGTGGACTACTTTATTCTTTCTTCAGGCCCAGAGCTTTTGTTGCTCTACAGACTAGGGTCCATCTGGGGGCACTATTAATCACCCGTGGCGAGCAGTTTGAACAGCTTACCTACCAACTAAGATGTCATCAAGCATGCTGTCCTGGTTCTGCCCCGAGTCAGTCACTATGTAGTGTATCAATGAACACATCAGGGGCTTGGAAGTGTCTGGGTCCTCCCTTCTGAAGTCAGAGAGCCCAGAACTTAGAACAACCAAACTAAAATTAGTCAAGGTGACAGATGTGAGGATGTATAGAACTTGCCAGTTAGCGATGCTTCTGGATAAACTGAGTGATCTTTGATAAACCCGTAAGAACCCAAACTACCATGATAAAATCTTTATTCCTTCATTTATTCATTGCATTTCCTTGGTACCAGTGAGGTGCCAGGCATTGACCCAGACACGGAATCCCTTACCCCAGGGATCACAGGGCCCAGCGGAGGACACAGTAGTTGGCTGAACTCTGGGAGCCTGCCCCACCCTCAGGCCCATGAAGGAGCGATGCTTTAAGGCAGGAGGCAGAAGAGGTGTACTAGTTCTGCCTGAGGCTCATGAGAGGTGTGGAAAATCACTCCTCAGGGACCACAGAGCCACACGGGGGGTGGGGGGGATGAATACTTGTGCTGAGTTGAGTTGGAATTTCCCAAAAGGACACAACTTTATGGAGAAAAACAGTCCGCTCAAAGTGTACTTTCACGTGATTTATATTTACAATGAGCAAGAGCACTTTTCCTCATGGTTGTTTGATATTTACTGTTTACATTGTTGCTTAAATTCTACATTTTAAAATTCTAACCCCACCTTAAAATACCTATTAGTAGAAAAACTAAGAAGGAACAGCCAGTTTTCATCAAACACATTTTTTTTTAAGGGAATCCATTTACTTTCTACTTGGACATGGCTTACTCATCACGCCTACTTACGCACATAAAAGTAACTTATGTTCATGGAGCATCCGAGATGATTTCTTATATGAACCTTATTTCAAGCCAATTCACTTTGTCCTTCTGGGTGACGGCTGCATGCCTGCCGATGATTGTATTCAATGACGTTGGGCACAGACGTGTATCTAGTCCTCCCTCCTTTCCTGAACCTGAGAAAGAGGCAGATTCTCCAAGTGCAAATTGGATGCGTGGCAGCTGGCAAGAGAGGAGTTCAGATAATTTGTTTGCCTTTGGAGCTTGATAACTGTTAATTCCTCATGAACTTGGCCTCTGCCAAACATACATTGTACTTTTCTCTGATAGGAAATTCATATTGTTAAACTCTATGTGAACTCAAGGTATTAATGTGGAGGGCTTACTAGCAAAAATGACTTTCAAATGTCAGATAAAATTAAATAACATGGCTTAATAAAATAAGCTTGTTTCCGAAAATCTGTTTTTCATATTTGTGAAGGAGTTATCTGTCCAGTTATTTAAACCAAGATATTACCAACACAGGGGAAAAGAGACACTCTTTTTTATCAATTATCAAGGGGGCCATTGATTTCACAAAGCCAATTAGAACAGATCTGGAAGGGCAAGTAAATATTAGTTTTAGAAGCATTTCTTTTTAAAAAGCAATTCAGTTAACCAGAGTTACTAAATAAAAATAAGACATCTCGTTTGTAACCAGGGCACAGTTTGCTGTGGGGCACGCTTAGAGGAAGCTGGCTTTCAAACATTGTCAGTTAAATGACTTTACATAGATGCCCTACACATGATTTGTTCATAAACTATAGGTTCAGATTTCGTGGTTACAGAGCAATAATTTGAAACAGGCAGGCACCCCATTGTTGACTAGGTATTTTGCTGACAGAGAACAAATGATCAAGAGCGCAGGTCTGAATACTTGCAGCCCTGTGTGGGTGTCACCAATGGCCTCTGTCCCTCACTTTGTTGGCATTAGCTGCAAAACATCATTTTCCACAACTTCTTGCCCAACTTTATAGCCATCTGGGAGGGAGAGTTGAGGAGCCTTTTCTGGTGGTCTCCAGAAGGGAAACTTCTCTAGCGTAAACACTAAGAACAGTCTAGAAACAGGAGTGTGGGATCTGGGAACTGTAGGATGGCCGGTTGTGAAGGTGTTTTCTGGAGAGCGAGTTCTGCTTTCTGTTACTTGTAATAAAGTGCCTGAGAGGATTAACAAAGGAAGAAGAAAGTGTCCTCTGCTCAGGGTTTTGGAGGCTTCAGTTGATGGTCAGTCTGCCCTGTTGCTTTGGGGCTGTGGTGAGGTTGTCCAGCTGGTGTGAGCGTGCCCAGCACTGTGCGAGCGCGCCCAGCATGGTAGGAGCATGCTGTGGAGTTCAGTTGCTCCCCTTCTGTCTGTTGGGAAGCAAACAAGAGGAGAGAAATTGTCCCACCAGAATCACCTTGGGGGAACTCCCCAGTGACCTAAGACCTCTCAGGAGGCGCTACTTCCTGAAGTTTCCACCACAGCAGTACCAAGCTGTGGACTGAACCTCTCAACACATGGGTTTTTTCTGGGTTTCTTGGTAATGGGCTGGGAGGATTTCCTGGAGCCCTATTCCTCTTAATCAATGCTCAGGTGACCCGTGATGCTGAAGAGGTGGTTTTGTTGGTAGGATGGCCTTGGGGTGATTTAACTAGGACAGAATGACCCCTGATGATCCATCTATATTGAGCAGTTGACCTAGTGTTCTGTCTTTGTTCAGAGCAGGCTCCCTCAGAACTAGGTACGCTTACATTGCTGTTGTGAGTGAAGGCCACAGTCTGTTCTCTTGGAGGCTGTGATGCCAACTTCAGGACAAAGATCTCTCTTACGAGTGTCCGGACTGTCATTTCCCACTGACCTCACGCCACCATCCCTGCCTGAGCACGGCAAACACCATCATCTCACCACATGCACAAGGCTGACACTTGTTTTGCTGACTTTAATTTTAAGATTGTTAGCTTTTCTTTTGCCCCATTTACAGGTATGCTAAAAAAGATGTCATTTGCTGGAATTGGGTAGAGAGCCAACTCCAGTAGGGAGTGCAAGAGCAAACAAGGGCAAAACTTAATTTTCCAACGGTAGTTGGTCACACATCTTTTCATGCCCGGTGACAGGATCACACAAAGTATGAAGGTGGCACGTGAAGCTGGGCAGCATAGGAGAGGGTCCCCTTCTTTGAGTTTTAACGGATATCTGTCTCCCTCCTTCTCCCGGTCTCCTTTTAGAGCCCTGGCTGATCTTGAACTCCTTTATGTAGTGGAGGAATAACTTGAACTTTTGGGACTGCTCCAGTGCTGGCATTACGGACGGACGTACACCACCCTTCCCTTCCCAGGCCATGTGGTGCTGGAGACTGAAACCAGGGCTTCAGGTCTACTAGGCAAACACATCCCAGGCCCCCGATATTTATTTTATGATGGTTTTATCTGTCCAATCTGGCATTCAAGTTTCAATGACAGAATTGATTTTCAATTAAAAAAAAATCTAAGCATGATTTTAAGAATAGTATTTGTGTAGATCAATGAGAATATTATATGTTGAATTTTTTAATAGGAAGTATTAGAACAGAAAGACTTCCATAAGAAATAACCCTTTGCACTGAGGCTCTGCAGTCCTGCCCTGGCTGTCACATGGATTAGAGAGTGCTCAGTGTTGGCCTCCCCTTGTGTCTTTCTCTTGTAGCTCTGATGCAGTGGCTTCAGTGACAGGACACCAAGGATGACCTCTGATGCGTTTCCATCCTAGAGCTGCTATCAGCGGACAAAATGCTCTAGGCTTCTGACATGGTTAGTTGCATGTGCCGAGTTTACTGTATTAAGGGCAGCTTGGGGACATGGGTGGGGACGAGGGTGATTGATGGACACTCTGATGACACAGTCCTTTTCCTTTGGCTCTCTTCTTCTCTTTGCAGGTCAGAATTGCTTTCTCTAACTGGGGCAGAGTTAGTCATTTCTCATTGCTGTACCAAATGAATAAAGAAACACATATTTTGGCTCACGGTTTTGGAGGTTTGACCCACGGCCAGCTGACTCCAATGCTGTGGGCCTGGGGCGGAGCTGAGCAGTAGAGGCCAGAACATAGAGTGAAGAAAAACAGCCCAGCTCATGGTGGACAGGAGAGAGAGAGCAGGGTGGCGTGAGGGGTAAGGCTGCCAGCAACTCTCCTACAGTGACCCCACTCCTCTGAGGAGACCCTCTTTTGAGAGTGTCCCTTATTTCCCTACAGCAACCAATTTTTAACCTCTCAGTGGATTAACATGGCAGAAAGTTGATCTAATTGTCCCTCAATGGTTGGGTCACCAGCTGGGGACCAAGCCTTCAACATGTGAGCCTTTGAGGGCACTTTACATACAAACCTAACAGCCACACTTCATGTTTTCACATTCGCCTGCTGGTTTTTTAATCTTTGTGCCCCAAGTTGTGTGTGTATGTGACTGTGTGTGTGTGTATGTGTGTATGTGTTGTGTATGAATGTCTCTGTATATGTGTATTTCTGTATGTACATATGTGTGCTTGTATGTATGCCTGTATATGTGTATGGGAATATGTGTACATATGTGCGTATGAGTGTGTAGATATGTTTATATGTATATATGGGTGTGCATATGAGTGTGCAAATATATATGTGGATTATGCACACAGCATAGGTATCCAAATTTCAATGTAAACAGATAATTTATCATTATTAATATGAATAAAACATTTGATATATGTTATGATAAGTCTTTACTCCATCTGCCCAAGCCCTGCCGCCACCTGGGCGCTTTCCGTCAGGCCACCCAAGTTCTACCTGCCGCCACGTTATGGTCCCAAGTGACACACAGAGACTTATATTAGGTAGAAATGCTGCTTGGCCAATGACTAGGATTTCTCATCTGCTAGCTCAGTTTTAATTATCAAAATCTATGTATTTTATAAGACTTATCGGATGCCAGCGGAAGCGTCCTGTCTTCCTGGGGTCACATGGTGACTCCAGAGCAGAGACCAGGAGGAAGAGCAAGAGAAAAGGGACCACTTCCTGTTTGTCCCTATTTATATATGAGTCTGCCTGCTATGTCACTTCCTGCCTGCACCACAAGCCTTCTTTTTACTACATTTCCCAGAATCCTCCTCAACTCCTAGTCCCGCCTAACTTGCTGCCTCATTGGTCAAACAGTACTTTATTCAACAATCAATAAGATGAACATATATAGAAGGACATTCCCCATTAGATATAACTAATTGAACACATGTCTTGGCCATGAATATTTTATAGGATCCAACATATGTGTGGTGAGGAGAGTAGACCAGATTGGAAATTTGAGGGAATGGTGTGGGACCAGGGATTACAGGGCAAAGACAGAGTGAGTGGTTTTGTGTGCTCCCATCACACATGCTGATAATATGGAGGGTTGATGGGGGAATGTCCTTCTGTGTATGTTTATCTTATTGGTTGCTGAGTAAAGCACTGTTGGTCAATAGGGGAGCAAGTTAGGCAGGACTAGGAGTCGAGGAGAATTCTGGGAAATGAAGTAAAGAAGTCTTGTAATCCAGGCAGGAAGTGACACAGCAGGCAGCCTCAGATTATAAGCAGGGACAAGAAGGAAATCGTCCTCTTGTTCTTCCTCTTCCTCTTGCTCTCTGCTCTGAAGCTGCCATGTGATCCCAGGAAGATAGAAGTTTTCTGTTGGCATCCTCCATAAGGTAAGTCTTATGATTATGGTTGATAATTAAGACTGAGCTATCAGATAAGAAAACCTAGTCATTGGCCAACAGCGTTGTAATTAATATAAGACTCTCTGTGTTATTTAGGGCATCCACATGGTGGCAGGGCTCGGGCGGCCTGGCGTAAAGACTTATTGTTACAGAGGGTGACTTGATTTTCTGCCTACCATTCACAGATACAAACCAGACAGCTGGCTTTCCTGAAACACTTAGAATAAGTGTGTCTTCCAAGGGCTCTTAGGAGCTTAACCCCAGAGTGTCACTATCAGAGTTGCAGACCCCAGAGTGTCACTGTCAGAGGTGCAGGCCCCAGAGTGTCACTGTCTGTCATGTGTGGGCCTCACAGTGTCACTGTTAAATGTGTGGAATTGGCTGGGCCACTTGAATTTGGAAAAGATTAAGATAATTCTTATGAACTTTGACTTAATTTTAGCTGTTTCTTAAAAATTATATTTACATTTAGTGTGCATGCATGTGTGTGTTCAAGTGTGCATATGTGTACGTGAGCATGTGATGTTCAGAGGATAATCCATGGGAATTGAACTCATTTTTTTCCCTTTCATCTTGTATGTCCCAAGGATGGAACTCAGGATGTCAGGCTTGGTGGCAAGCATCTTAACAGCTGAGCCAGGTTGCCTGCCCTGAGTCATTTCTTAAGAGAGACCTGTTATTAAAAAAGAAATGGAATGGCGTGCTAGTCCCTTGCTTCCCTCTGGCTTCTTCTCTGGCTGTGTGATTGTTCTTGGGGTTCCTAGCTGGAACAATGCCAGCTCTCTGGAAACCCAAACTGGACAGTTGTTACATCTGGCTTCCCTGGTTTCTGCTGAGCCTGGGACGTTGCCACCTGCCTCCATCTCGTCAATTATATACCTAATGTTACAGTGTTTCCCTCCTATCTTCCTTCTACAAGACTTCCAAGGACTTTCTTGGTTTCTTATTCTACATTTCCTTCTGACTCCCCGCACGTATGTAAGAATATATTGACTGATCTTAGTGTGTGTGCCATGGTACTTGTGGGAGGTGGTTCTCTCCTACCACGTGGTGTGAGGGGACTGAATTCAGGTCTTCAAGCTTGGCAGTGCCTTACCTGCTGAGCTAGCTCACTGCACCCAGACTATACTATTGTTATGTAGGATGCGAACTGGAACTAAGACTCATGCTAGCCTGTGCTGTTGCAATTATTTTAATAAAACACTTTTACTGGCATTCCAGAAATTCCTTCTGCCCCTGCTGAGTCTCCTTGACCAGCACAGCTCCCTCCTTTGTCTGGTCCTGAGTATGTATAGCTTCAGATCCCATCCTTCCCCGGCCTCCAGCCTGCTCTATGAGAGCCCAGCGTTGCGTGAACACCCTCACCCAGCATCATTTCCCCCAGTGTAATGTCAGTAAGCTTTTAGAACCCAACCCTAGATTCCTCTACTTCCCGCCTCTTAGTGGCTTCCTATTGCCTCCACAGTAGGCGCTGGGGGAGGCTTACTTACAGGTTGGCCCTGGATGCCTCTTTGTCCTCTCCCAAGCACCTCTTCTTATGCATGCGCCATTCCTCAGAGTTCCTTGTGGACCACCCTCTTTCCTGGGCCCGGTTGTTTTCTGTCTCATCACTCTTCCTATCTCAGCCAGGTTCCAGGGACCAGCTTCGTTTGTCACACACTCCTGTGGCTCCTGATTTTCTACTTTGTACACATTTTAAAGTATTTACCATCACTTTGCTCATGCTGGTTTCCCCCTCAGTCACAGGTTCTTAGTGGTGGGAATGGCCAGGGCTATGGTGCTTCCCACTTTGTACTTGCGAAACTTGGAAAGCAGAGTGGATTATTAGATGTTCACTGCCTAGACGGTTTTCCTAAGCCGCCTAATTGCCCGTCTCAAGTTCAATGTTCTCGGAGGATGCTGAGAACATCCACCTTTGAGACATAGCTGTGGTGTGGCCATTCTCATTCTCCACCATGCCTGTAACTGTGACTTTCGAGGTCAGCTATGGCATTTTCTAAGATAGCTACAGGACTGCCTGGTGTTTGTGTTCCAATGATTTCCTTATGTCTCAAATGTTTCCTTCGAGCCAAGTCTGCGCCTCCATCCTGCAGGAGTGATTTCTCATCTGCTGCTTGTACCAGATAACACCATATTAGTCTTGAATGAGTGTGATGGATTTCTAGCCAAATCCATCATCGCAGGAGAAGGCAATGCTGAGGCCTTCAATCAAATGGGGGAAGAGAGATAAAGAGACTACACTGACTTTATTTATGAGTTGTGTGTTCCCAGTGCTGTAGCCTACACGGGCTCAAATAAAATAATGAGGCCATCATCTCTCTCTATGTCGGAATAGATCCAGGTCTGTCTTCTCTAGACAATAGAGACAGGAAATCCAATAAGCAGAAAGGCATTTCTTATCAGATACATCAGGAGGGAGGAATGTTCTAGTTAATGGCACCGCCAGCCACTTTGGCTTGAGTCAAAAGTAGAAGTCACTCTTGATCCCCCCACCTTTCCCTCAAAATCTGTATTTAAACAATGGCCTAAGCCTCTCAGCCCTGCAGAGCTTTTGGTGACTCCACCTCACTGATGACATAGCTTCCTCGCTTTCCCTCCCGAAAATGCCCTCACTTCCCAGCAGCCAAAGATCTTTCAAAACTCACTCAGATCATAGCAGCCTGGTGTTCACAAACTTCCAAAGTTTCCAACAACTGGGATCTTAGGTCCTCTGCCTGAACAGTACGGTACTCTAAGCCACAGGAAGCGTCTCTCCAGCTCCCTGGGACATGTCTTTGAAGTCTATTTCTGACCTCTGGTTACTTCTTTGTCTTCTGTTTCCTGTCCACCACAGAGCGAAGATTTTCCTTCGCCACGTGGACTGGCTGCCATGACGTTCTGCTCAAGTACATGGGCTGAGCAGTCTCGGACTAAACCGTGTGAACCCTTAACCCCAAATGAATGTTTCTGTAAGCAACAGATACACCATTCAGTGCTGCAGATAGGGCACCTGTAGGCATCTCCTGCGAAGTCAGAAAATTGCTCGTTAGGTGAATGAATGCAATGAGGACATAAATGGGACCCAGCCTTCCTCGTGTCCCTTCCCTGCAATTTCACTGAAAATCTCCCTAATCAAAAGGACGTGAGGGTGAATGTTGCTTTCCTCTTGCTCCCTTCGGCGTGTGGTGGGCCCTGAGATAATGTTTCCTGTACTCATGCTGCCAATATGGAGTGAGGCTGACCCTGGCTGCCATTCTAGTGTAACTGCGCCACCAGAGCAGGCCAGAGCTCAGGCTCCTTTCTGCTTGATTCACTAGCTCTGACTGGAACTGTTTGTCTGTTCAGGATGCTAAGCCCTCCTTAGCACCTTGTAAAGGTTTCTCTGCTCCTCCGGACAGCCTCTTTAGTAAACAGGGGGGACATTGACTCAGACCTTTGGAGACATAAGCCGAGCTTTCGCAAATGTGCATATTGGAAGGGTCTGCAAGAATGGTTTTACTTTTAATGATGAAAACAGTGAAATTCTTTGTAGACAAAGTTACCAGGCTTCAGTTGGGTGTTTGTGGGGTGGCATTGTCTTGCTTTTTCCTCTCATGAATGGACATAGTTCCATGAAGCTTCCCTTTTCCCTGTTGGTGGGCATTTGAATAAGTATCTTTGCTTTTGCTCTGCCTCCCTCCTCCCCCTTTTCTCTCCTCCCCTCCCTTCCTTCTCCCCTCCCTCCTTCCTCCCCCTCTTCCTTTGTCTCCCCTGCCTCTCTTCTGCTCCCTCCCTTCTTACTTCCCTTGCTCCCCCTTCTTCCCCTTTCTCTTTTTCTCCTCCTCTGCTTCTGTGGTTTCTCTTTTTTCTCGTCACTTTCTTGTGTCCCCCCTCCTTCTTGTCTTGGAAATGAGGCAACCCAGGAGGACAAAGCCACACAGGTGGAGGGATAGACTGCTCCCAGTCAGTGCCTTCCTCTGCACTTCCCTAATCGCTGCTTCTCTGGGACAGAGTTCCACCTTCCCAGGGTGCACCCATGCATTGTGGGGTCCACCCAAACTCCATGGGATGCACCCAAGCATCCTGAGGTGCCTCCTTTTCTCATCAACCAAGACTTGAAGGAACTCTGCAGTCAGAGGCAGAGGAAGGAATGGGCCAGGTGGGCAATGGCTCTAGGCACGAAGCTGGGAAGTGGGTTTGGATATCTCTGTCATTAATTCATGGGTGAGCTCAGGTTTTCCAGTACTGCAGACTGGTCTAGCACAGACAGCACCCTCTGATGGAAATAGGAAATGCATACATGCCCTTTGCCCTGGTCCCAACAAATTTTTGATTTGTTTTTGTTTGTTTGTTTTTGTTTTTCCATATAGGGTTTCTCTGTGTAACCCTGGTTGTCCTGGAACTAGCTGTGTGGACCAGGCTGGTCTCGAACTCACCGAGATCCTCCTGTCTTTGCCTCCCAAGTGCTGGTATTAAAGGAGCCCACTGCCACTGTCCGTCTGCCCTGGTCTTATCTTGAAGCTCATTGCCAGAGGAACCTGTAGTGAGACATGCTGAAATTCTGAATCCATCCTGAGTTCTGTAGTGCATGCCACCAGCAGGGTTGGGTTAATTAGTTCTACACACCTATATCCATCTTGTGACCTCCTGTGTGTGTGTGTGTGTGTGTGTGTGTGTCTGTGTGCGTGTGCAAGTGCGCAAGCACGCGTGTGCTCAGCTAGAAAGCTAAAGAATGCAAGCCATCATATCTCTTATGTGGATACTACTACTTTAGACTGGAAAAGTGAGTGGGGGACCCAATGGTTTTCTGTGTCCACTTTGAAAATGTAAATAAATCTTGTTGCTAATCGAAAACCAGAGCCCATGTCTAAAGAACATTGTCAGGAGGAGTCAGATTACTGCCCCACCTAAAGCAGCCTCACACCGGGGAAGCCATGTCTGCTGAGGCAGCTCCACAGCTGTGGAAGGAGCTGTGGAAGGAGGGGAGATGAAGGTCCCAGCAGGCGGACTGTGTTGACCTCCAGGAACGGGGGTTCCATAGTTTGAATCTTAGGCATCTCCCAAGGGCTGGGCACCCCAGGTTGGCCCTCAGCCTATGGCATTCTTTAGAAGCAGTAGAATGTGCAAAGGACGAGGTCTAGTGGGCTAGGTCATTGAGAGCACGCCTTGAGGAGACCTGGGGAACTGGCTCTCTTCCTCTCGGCTCCTCAGTTGCATTTTCTACAGTCGTCCCTCCTCTACTGCCATATTCTGCATAGGTCCCACCATAACAATGTCAGTGTCCTTGTACTGAAAAGTCTGACACTGTGAGCCCGGGGTCTTCACAGATGACGTCACAGAACCTGAAAGCTGACTGACAGCATGCGGAGATGGAAGGTGAAGTTATCCGAAGCCTTTCGTACCCAACAGGCAGACGAGGGTGTGAACCACAGCCTTGTACCCTCCCAGGGCTTTACTCCCTGGGGTTTCACTTGCCCACCCCCCATAGTGATCTGAAAGTTAAATGGAAAGATAGGCAATTTCCTAAGTTTTTTTTTTTTTTTTTTTTTTTTTTTTTTTTTTTTGAGACAGGGTTGCTCTGTGGCTTTGGAGGCTGTCCTGGAACTCACTGTGGTAGACCAGAGATCTCGAAGTCACAGAGATCCACCTGCCTCTGCCTCCCGAGTGCTGGGATTAAAGGAGTGCGCCACCACTGCCCGGCAATTTCCTAAGTTTTAAGGAGCTTCATTATGTTATATTACCATGCTTATTCTGCCTTACTGTAGTCATTTATCATACACAGTGCTTAATATAGAGATTAAACTATGCCACAGGCTTGTTAACCTAGGAAAAATCAAAGCTTATAAAGGGTATCTCCTGGCGGTTTTGAAATATGCCTGGATGAATGTGTAGCATGACTTCAGGCTAGTGCATTTTTCTCAATGAAGAAAATACATTGAAGGACCCTCCATGTGCTCAGGGGACTGGCTTTAGTGGACCTACTACTGCAACCTGATTGTTCTTCAAGTTTCTCTTATGATGTGTCAAAAATCCATCCTTGTGCTGAGCAAGAAGAGGGTGTCAGGTCTACAGGGGCCTGGCGAGTAACCCTTAATGACCTCCTCTGGCTCCCAGAGCCCTCGTGCTCTACCAGTTTGGATGCCCAGTGTTACCAGGAGAATTACAGGTTATCTCCAAACCCATAAATCCTTGTGCTTCACTGTCTGTGTTGGTTTCTTGTTAACTTGACACTAGTTAGATCCATGGAGAGGGACCTCAACTGAGTAAATGTCTCCATCAGATAGGCCGGTAGGCATGTCTGTAAGACAATGTCTTGATTAACGGTGGGTATGTAGGTGGTGGGTGTGTGGGTGGTGGGTGTGCAGCCCCCTGTAGGTGGTGCCACCCTGGGCAGTTGGTCCTGGGTGGAATAAGGAAGCAGTTGAGCAAGTCATGAGGAACAAGCCAGTGAGCAGTGCTCTTCCCTGGCCCCCCCTTCAGTTCCTGCCTCGAGTTCCTGTCCTGACTTCCCTCACCGATGGACTGTAAACTATAACCTGAAATAAACCATTTCTTCCCAAGTTGCTTTTGGTCATGGTGTTAATCACAATAGAAAGCAAACAAGATATCCACACCTTCAGAAGGTGGAGTTGCCCAGGGAAAATCACAACCACCACAGTCACGGACCTGCCTTTGTGAGTGTGTGTGTGTGTGTGTGTGTGTTTGTGTGTTGGTGTGTGTGTGTGTGTGTGTGTGAGTGTGTGTGTGAGACTTTGGGGCCATGTCCATCTGTGAGTTCTTGCTTTTCTCGACCCCATCTGTGCAGTGCGAGTCCCTGTGACCCATGTCTCATGATTATCGTCACAGAAGCTCCCAGGAGGCATCACAGCTCCCAATCCTGGAGGGGGTCTCCCCGAGCAGCCTTACCACGCCCACCGAGCAGCCTTACCACGCCCACCACAAACAGGCGGCTGCACTTCCCACAGCGCCTCAAGGAGACAGAGACTATTGATTTGTAGAGAGAAGAGCAAAGCCGTTTATTGAATGTGAACCACGTGCCTGGTTAAATACTTCCTTCCTGCAGTCACTTCAGACCTTCAACAACCGACCGTCTCATGTAAGAGGAGGGGCGGCTGGCTTTCCCAGCGCAGTGAAGAAGCTTGGTATGCAGCCCAGTGAAGGGTGGAGCTGGGGTCAAATCCGTGTCGTTTTAATATAAAACTTGTACTCTTTTTAATCTTCCTTCTCTCTCTCTTCCTCTTTCTCTGTGTGTTTGCCTGTTTGTGTATGTATATGTGTATGCATGTGAGTATGTATGTGAGTGTGTGTGTGTAACCTGTATGTGGGCACATGTATATATGTTATGCATGTGATTGTGTGTGTGTGCATAGGTGTGAGCAAGCATGTGCATGTGTGTGCTCCTGTGCATGTGTGTGCTCCTGTGTGCGTGTGTGCTCCTGTGCATGTGTGTGCTCCTGTGTACGTGTGCGCTCATGTGCACACGTTAAGGGCCCAATTGTAAACATTTTTGGCTTTGTGGTAGTGCTGGTTTGTGTTTATTGTCAATTTGATACAACCCGGACTCGTCTTGGAAGAGGGAACCTCATTTAGGAACAACCTTCATCAGACTGGCCCATGACCTTGTCCGTGAGGAGTTATCTTGGTTGATGGTTGATGGGGGAGGCCCCTGCCCACTACGGGCGGCGACATCCCTAGGCAGTGGGTCTGCACTGTATCAGAAAGCTGGCAGAGCACAAACCTGGGAGCAGACCAGCTAACTTCTTCCTTCCATGGTTTCCACTTTGGTCCCTGCTTGAGAGTCTGTCCTGTCTTCCCTCAATGATGGGGTGCGATTTGTCAGTGCAAGATGAAATAAGTCCTGTCCTCCTGGTGCTGTTGATGATCGTGTTGATCACAGCAACAGAAAAGGGAAGCAGAGCAGCGGGTCACGTGGTCCTGGTCCCCGTTGCTCAGCTCTGCCATCATGAAGCAGAGGACACCTTAACCTGTCAGCAAATGGCACTGCTGGCTTGCTGACCTGGACTCCATAAAAAGCACATGTCTGGTTGGACTTGGCCCATAAACTACCCTAGGAAGTCATGTTGAGAGACTGAAGTTGTCTGTCTGTCTTCTGATGAATTGTAATGTCCCCTGTGCTCCAGAGGAGAGTTGCCAAGCCCTTTCCTTTAAAATGTAAGTATGTCTGATGAAGAGAAACCTGAGGTAGGGCAGGAGGGGCCCCTGTGAGTGCTGGCACTGAGAAAGCGTGTGCTAACTCATTGACCATCACATACGTTTTCCTTCTGAGCTGCTATTTTCCTTATTTGTTAAAAGGAGAGCGTGTTTATCACCTTACAGTTTGTTACGAAAACAAACAAAGTGTGAGGTAATAATGCATCCACAACACTGTTCCTGTGTTGGAACAAATATGTGTTTGTAGGGATTGGTTTATTAAACATGCTCCCCTCAGGATGGCAGGAGAAAGCGGCGTCTACAGAAAGAGACGTTGTGAGGGTGAGGGTACAAGCGGGTGGGCAGGGAACTCCCTGGAATAAAGGACTGACCTTTTCTGTTGTTTAATACATTTGTCTAATCAGCCAAGGCCGTCGCTTGCTAAAGATAGAGATGCATCAGTTAACTTTTGATCTATGACAAGCAACCTTACAACTGAATGACTTAAACAATATGCAAGTATTTAGTTCATAGTTCTGTTAGGTGGCTCTTTCGATCTGATGTGGGATTGGTTGACACTAACTCTCAACTTTTTCGTATGTGATCATTTGGTGGGCTGGCTGAGTGCTGCCAGGGGTTGGATCCTTTCATCCAGATGACTGGGGAGGACACTGTCTCCTGTCCCTGGTTTGGTCTTGTTCTGCCCCCTTCAAGAACAGAGTGGGCAGATACTGTGGAGTCCAGACAGGAAGTGCTTTATTGTAACTGAGGTCTGATAACTTTAAAGTGGATAAGACAACAAAACAGATAGCTACATGGGGTTTTAATGAAGCATCTTTGAACTCAGTGATGCCTGATGCTCTCTGAGAGCCATTGCAGCTCATAGCTCTGGAGTATTGGGATGCCAAGAGAGCAGAGCAGGCTAGCAGCCCTGAGAAGTGTCCTGGTTCTCACAGACTTTGCAAGCAGCAACTGGTCAAAACACAGAGAAAAAGTGACTGTGTGGTACCCAGCCCCAACTGATGTATCTGTTATACTTAAGGCTTAGGAAGCATTGCAGAACAGGAGACATAGAGATTATAAGAGCCAGAGGACCAGACACCTGCCAGGAGATTGTGCCTTCTGTGTGTGATAGAGAAGCTGTGCCAATGAACATCAACTCTATGTTTGCCTCAAACAAGACCTGAATAATGATAGCAACAGTTGATTTGCCATTATATATGGGGTCAAAAGACCCCACCCCTAGATGAAGAGCTACAGGCAATAGATGACTTTTGAAGGAGGGAGACTTAGTTTTCCCCAGGAATGAGACCCCATAATGAGTTATCCAGTCCTAAGTAGTCAGCCCTAAAGGCATATACATATGAGTAACACTAAATGGACTCATCGGGTTGTATGTATGTATGTATGTATGTATGTATGTATGTATGTATGTATGTATGTGTCTATTGCTGCAAAGAGCCACCATGACCATGGCAACTCTTATAAGGAAAACATTTAATTGAGGTGTCGGCTTACAGTTTCAGATGTTCAGTCCATTATCACCATGGCAGGGGACATGGTGGCATGCAGGCAGATGTGGTCCTATAGCTTGCAGGCAACAGGAAGTCAACTGAGACAATGGGTGGTCTCCTGAGCATAGGAGACCTCAAAGCCCGCCCTCACAGTGACACACTTCCTCCAACAAGGCCTTACCCACTCCAACAAAAGCCACACCTCCTAATAGTGCCTTGAATTTGAGAGGCAGTGGGAGGAGTTAGAGGGAGGAGGAGGGGGAAACTGATACGCACAGTACACATATATGGAAATTAAAAACAAAAACCTTTTAAAACATGCACTGGCATCTCTCAAGGCATTTTAAGAATGTGTTCCCTCCAATGCTTGCTCTGCTTTTGCTCAGGTATGTCTGCTCTACCTACTAAATGGGTGATGACATTTTCCCTTGGTGGAAAGTGTATTAGGTAATAGTATTTATCCTATGTACTTGTCAACAACAGTGTCCCTGTCCAAGTGGCCATGGGTTCTCACATGCTCTGCTTGCTGGGGCTTGGTCACGGCATTCTCAGCCACTCTGGGTGGATTCAGGGCTCCTGAAACTGCTCTTTGTATTGCTGGATGACTGTTAGCCATATGTGACAAAAAGAGAGTTTTCCACATCCTGGTAAGGAAATACTCTGTCAAGAACAGCAGACTTTCCCTGCTCTCCCCACCTTGGCTCTTGCCAGGAAGGTCTAAATAGGCCCTCTGTAGTCGGTTTCTTTTCAGTATTCCACACCACAGCTCAGTTATAGACACTGAGCCAGAAAAGTTAGCTCCTGCTCAGAGACCACAGGGATCACAGAACAAGAGGGCTGTTTTAGGATGGAGTGTCCAGGCCCAGCCTCCTGCAGACATTTGGTGTCTAGGGAAATGTCCCCTCCTCTTCCCTCTTCTCCTGTCACTTGAATAGCTGTGCCTGTATATATTTAATCAAATATTCAGCTTCCATGTTTTTCTGTGCCAATGACCTTCTGAGGCAAGAGGCTTAAGCAATGTGCTGAAATTTACACGTAATCCATTACATGCTACTGAAGTGAAGTTTGGAAGCAATGGCCTTATCCAAACTAATTCCCTGTCCAAGATAAATCTTTTTGTCACCGTAAATAGATGCCGTTGCCCTGGGGAGTGGGCGGGGGAACCCTGTACTGTTGCTGCTGTTAGCTGACGGACTGCCATTCAGTAAACACACAGCATGTAAGATGATGTGAGGATTCTATGTGTGCTCATGAGTTACCATTTCCGTCCACTTCTGCTCCTTCTGTGCCTCCCACTTGTGGCTTCTCTGGCTCTTCAGGGGCCTCCTTGATGTTGCCTTTCTATTTGGTGATGATGGTGGTGTGGGGTGTGATGGTCTGGGAGAGGTTGTGGCAGACACTGCTGTGTCTTAAGACCTGTACCTTTGCACAGCGGCTCTCTCTGATCCTAGCCTTGTGGGGGAAGAGGTTCAGTTCTTGGCCAACCTTGCGAGGTGTGCTTCTGTCCTATGAATCTGCCTTAATACTGAGTGCAGATGCTCCCGTTGACCTGAATCCATCAGGCAGTGAGCTTTTCCTCAGTGTTGGTAGTGTCATGAGCCCTGTGGTCTCACTGAGCTGCCCTTCAGACTCTGAGCAGGCGATAGACAGAGCCTTGAGCAAGGAAGATCTGTGGCTGCTCTCATTGCAGCCGTGTTCACATACACTGTGGTCTGCCGTGTTTCTCTGGGACACACGGTGAGTGATTTTGAGCTGTTGTCCTGGGCCACCTATGGGTATCCATGAGCGTGTGTGTCCAGAGAAGAAAACCAGACCATTGAAACTTGCCTCACATTTTCGGGGAAAATAAATCCCATGCCAGTGGAATGCAGAATTTAAGACTGGAAGAGAAGAAACAATAAGTTGCGTTGTTGTCAGCCCCATCTCTGGCTGGATGGCTAAAGTCAGGAGGCCTCCCATAGTGCTTCCATATTGGTTTAAGATTTATTTTTATTCATGTGTGTTGGGGGTGTGCAGACTGTAGAGGCCGAGGTGTCAGTTCCTCCTTGTGCTGGTGTTCCAGGCAGTTGTGAGGCACGTGAGGTGGGTGCTGGGAACTGAACTCAGGCTCTGTGTGAGAACAGTGCATGCTCTTAACTACTGAACTGTCTTTGAGCTCATTCATATCAGTTGAGAGGCATGATTTGCACACATGTACACACGTATGCACACATGTGTGCACACAGAACTCATTGCTGCTGAGGCTATTCATGCATCCACCCTTTCATTCCCCACAACTACCTTTGGGGCATTGATATGGAGTTTCCCGCCTGGTTCTGCAGCTACCTTAGAGCCCACAAATAAACACTTGGAAACTATATTAGTTATAAAGCTGTTGGCCATTGGCTTGGGCTTCTTATTGGCTAGCTCTTTTTAAATTATTATTTTCTTTTCCAAGACAGAGTTTCTCTGTGTAGCTTTGGAGCTTATCCTGGTACTCACTCTGTAGACCAGGCTGGCCTCGA